ATGAGCATTGAATGATCATAGAGGCAGCTGACAATAATGAGAAATTTGAAGAAAGATGAGGGCATCTATCCAAAAAGATTCATGGGTTTTGCCTCAATATCTTAGTCCACTACAGCCTTGCTCGGGGAAAAATGAATTTGATCAGCTCGTTTCTCTTGAGAAACGTCAGTAACGATGTAACGAGTTGGGTCAGCTGGTTAGTTTGTTGCGGAGCAGCAGAGGAGGCAGGAAGCACAGCGAGGCGTCGTGACGGGCCTGCAGCCAGCACACGTGTGACGGCAGAACCTTGTGTTCCACGCAGACCAGGTGCAAAGGCCTTGTCTCTTATCTTCTCATCCTTCTCTTTATCTTCTCTTTGTCCTGTCGGGAAAAAACACTCCTGCTGGCCTCTCTGTCCGTCTCTCCATTTCTGTTCCAGCACCTCCTGCTCCCCCAACACTCCCACCTCTCTTCAGCCCTGATTCATGCTCAATTTGGTACAGATAACCCATCAACTTCACCGCCTATCCGCAAACTCCGTCACCATCATGCCCACAGATGGCAACTTCCTGTGGTCCTGCCCAGCGATTGGTGGAGAGGCTTCCAAACACGGAACAGCTGGTGAGGGATGATGCATCACCGAGCGTTTGCACTTTCATTTTCAGGGTTGTCTTGTTAATCCTCCCGATGCAGCATCTGGCAGGAAGTGGACACAAAAGCAAAAATAGAGGGAGAGAACAAGCCGTTCTTTGGGAGACCTTAACAAAAGGCCGACGCGTGTCTGATGAGCACACGGGGCTGCAATGGAACAGACAGACTTCTATGAATATGAACAAAATATGCTTGTTGCAAATACATCAAAAGGTAGGATGACGTGAGCCTTTTCTATGAAAGGTCATTGCTCAGGGAACTACAAGGGGGAAATATTGTTTAGTTCTTTCTCATGACATGCTGTGCTGCTATTGCCCCAGGTATCCCTGCACAGTCTCTGAACCTCAGTACACCTTGCTTATCACCTCCTACCTCTAGTCCTGGGATTGGGTCCACCACGCTACACTCTAACAGGATGATGTGGCCCAAAGCGGACGGATTCTGAGGTGACAAATGAGTCGATTTCGTGCAAAATCCTCAGCATCTTTTGGAAAAAGTGCTGAGAGGTTCACGAAGACGGTTGACTTTAACAGGTGAAGGTCACATGTCTGCGTTTCTCCTGAGCCCGTCTCACTCCCCTCTGGCCGGCTTTTAAGTCCATTTGCTTACGGCTTGCCTGCCTCAAGCGGAACTCCCGGTCTGCGAGCCCTGGCAGCTCGCTATCCACTAGCATGTAATCCTGCGTCTCCAGAAATATTCCGAGCAGCCGAGCTGCTCGGAATATTTGAAAAAGTCACTTTCCACATACTAATGACTTTTTCATACCTTTTTAAAAAAAATGACCAAAACCTCTACATAGCATCTTCAGGCATTGACAGAATGTGCAATAACATTTTTTGACATAGTATATGACTTAAAATCCTTGATTTTGACTTTTACATGCAATAATAATAAAAAAATAATAATAGTATACTGACTTGTATGATTAGAACTATAAATTCTCAACACCAGATTCAGCCATTTCCCAATCACATGGCCAAAGAATTTCTTTTTTTTTTTTTACAGGAAAAATTGTAATATTTCAACAGACTTGAATAAAGAGATCACAATCACAAAAAACTACAACCGTTTTAATACCTGGTGTCACAGTGTTAGTAGAACTGTAGATATAGTGAGACGTCAGAACTGTACAGAACTGTTCCAAATACGCCATTTTACAACGTTGAAATCCTTGTCATATCGCCCACGTCAATTAACTTTCAATTTATACCCAAAACTCCAGACACACATACATCTGGTATCTTTTGACAATAATCCACTTAATGAGACGGACTTCATGTTAGTTGACAAATGAGGCGTGAAGAAATCCGCTCTTAAAAAATGAAAATGTAGCTACCAAAATGTATGATATAAAACAGGTGTATTTTGTATGTAACAGGTGAAAAAAAAGACAATGAGCCAACGTGCTGAATAGTTAGTCCACCCTTCTTATCATATCGCTGAACCCAGACAGCTGACTGATACCATTCCAACGACCTTTAAAGGCTACAATACTGTAATTAACATGTATGTCAGCGAAAAATCATGCAGCTTCATCTCAAAACAGAACAGATTTTAAACCATAACCCGATGCTCGATTGTTACGGTCAGTCCCAAAGTGGATTCGGAGCTTACGAGTAAACTCGAACTTGCTTCTTCTCAAACAAGCGCGTGATTCTTAGAAGCAAGAGTCGGTCCACCGGTCGCCTTCAATCGCCGCGGCTGATGTGTCGTTTGAAGTGGTTGTACAGGTATTCATAGTGACCCCTGCCAAGCATCTAGTGCACAACACAATATGCAGTGACACACTGCAGTGATCCAGATGTTTGCTGTTAGGCCCTTTTATGTTTGTTGCATAATAAAGTATCCATCTGTTCAGTGTTGCCAGCAAACACAGGAAAAGGGAAAAAAAATAAGTGTAAGTGGTGATGATGTTATTTAGACTTGAGATCATTTGCGGCTGCTCAGGAGTTTGATGATGGTTTTGTGTTTGAATGGATGTTCTGGTGATATCAGAGCCCTGGTAACATGAACTAGTGAAACTCCTTAAAAAACAGAGAAAGTAGCAAACTGTCATTTGTATAATAACGTTTCTATCGGGGAGACACGACAAGATTCCTGCCGCTAAACAAAGCAGGCACCGTACCACACGAATCACGGAACATATCAACGAGCAAAACAGTGAAACCCAAAAACATCGCAGCCATTTACACAAAGAAGCATTGAAATAGTTTTCCACCCTTTAAAAACTGTTGTTACATTACAAATACATGGTCAAAAAGCACATAAAGTGGACAGCTCCGTTTCTTTATCCTCTCCAGAAGTTACGCTTGGCACGATTGTCATAAAAACAAACTTGAAGAATTTACCTATTTTCTGGAACAAAGCACCAAAATTCAAAGGAGAAAACTGGACAGTCTTTGATATCGAATGATCGTAATCGAACAGTAGACGGGGTGAGTGAAGGTTCCACGGTCTTTTGGCAGGGAAGCCAGAATGTCAAAAAGGCTTCTGATGATTAGGATTAACGGTTTGTCGGACTGGAGGGAGTTGCAGATTATCCAGGTTTATTTCAGATTAGCCACCATTAACGTCTGGCAGCCAGGCTGAATGGGAAACGGCTACAGAAACTCTTTTACACTAGAAGTAAGTAGCAATACATTGTTTATTCAAAAGGCTATGCATGTTAACAAAAAAAATGATATGACTGAACAAAGGTGAAACATTTCCCTCTTTTTGTGACGCTATCAATAAACAAAAAATGGCCTGACGCTGCGCCGGTTTTAAAGCTCACAGACTTTTGATGTAGCAAAAAGAGGTACGGAAATAAAACGGATAGTTTCTGAATTAAAAACTCATGATGATTAAATAAAACACATTGTGAATGTGGTGACATTTTGCAGCTTCCACTGGATAAACCTTCTTTTGATAAACAGTTAATCGTGACCAACCAACAGCCTTCTCACAATGCAAATGCACAAACTTGCATAGATAAAGTGATATTGAATAGAGCAACTTCATCAGCTACTTTAGACTTTTCTCATGCCACTTACAGACAATAGCTGCTTGTTATTAGGTCTGACTACAAACAGAACATAACAACAGACACTCTGACCCCTGACATATGCAAGTTTGCCTCAAAGAATGGGGGATATGGTACGACTTATGTTTCAGATTGTTTGTGAGGATGCAGCTCTCCTGCTCAGAAAGGCTCGGGAAATACATTTGTTTTTTTTTATAATATGGTTATTAACAGCTTAGCATATAGATGACATCATAGAATCACCCGAGCATAAAGGGATTTACTGACAACATGCTTTCCCTGGGATTCTTTGACTTGAACTCTTCTTAATGCACAGGAGGGATTTGCTTGATTTTGGCTATTCTCAATATAAGGCTTTTCATGTCCATTTGGTAAATCCACCACTTGGAGGACTGCGTATTTCAGAAGTGACATCTTGTTTTTTTTTAGTGTAGTATTAAAAATGTTTCCACAACATGTGGAGACAAAGAAAACGTTTAGACTATGAATTCATGTTGAATCTAAGGGGGAGTACCACTCAATCGGGAACATCTCTGGACTGCTTTCGTAAACAACGCGTCTCTAAACAATGATTCTCTCTTGTCTTTGAAGAGAAAAAGGCGTGACAAAGAAAGGGAATTTGGAGAAGTGGAAAAACAGGAAAGATGAGCAAAACGAGTCTTCATATCCACAGATTATTAGTGTTTTTTCTTCCGATTTGAGTGGCAATCCCCTTTTAATAAGTGTACCTTACTGTTTGGAAAACACTCGAAATACAACACGGACACTACTCTGAGCACAGTTCTAGTAAAAGCAACAGATTAGAAAACATTGACATCATCAAGAGGACGTGCTATACATCGAGCTGAGAGACAGAAGCCTCCCATCTCCACCTCAGTTGTGTGCAAATCGAGTGAACACCCAACATTCGCGGTGCGACTCTGATGCTACTGACTGAATCTGCAGAGCTACATGGTGTGGTGGCGAGGAAAAGAAGCTTTTGTTGCCTACGACAAACGGACTAAACGGACGAACCGGAGCGGTAAAGTGAAACGTCCCCTTTGAAGCGGCTCCTGCATCATATTGTCCATATAAAGAGGAAAAGCGTTTCATTTTTGGGGCAAACCCACGACCACGGAGCACTCGGAGCGGCCCGGACTTCCTCCACGCCCCCAAACGCCCGACGTCACAGTGGTCCTCACGCAAGTCCGACCCCCTGCGACCCGGCGCCTCTCCTCGGGGCCCAGGTGTAGCATTGCTTTCCTACCATGCCTCTCTCATGCAGAGCGATGGATCCCGAAGCAGGGGGACAGGAGAGAAGGTGGGGGGGGGGGGGGGGGGGGGGGAGTGGGGGGCCTTTTTTTAGAATCACTTCTTCTACCCCCCAAAAAAAAAAAAATCAAGCACTCAAAGCTGGTGGCAGGAGAAGAACGTAATAAGGTGTGGAAGAGGAAAAACAAAACATGGCCCATCTATGAAGCGGCTCCTGGTCGCAGCTTTGATGGCGAGCTTAGGTCGGCAACGGGTCATCGTCCCCTTTGCTGCACTTGCACTTGCAGCAGAGGACAATGGGCGTGGCCAGAAGGAGGAAGGGGGAGGCCACCAGCAAGAGCAGGCCAAAGCCAGCAAAGATCCCCACGACCTGCAGAAACGCATCAGGACAAATCAATGAGTAAATACAACACTATGGCATGTGCGTGTAGGGTTCGGGTACACTTGACGAGCACCATCTTGAAGCCTTCCAATGAAATGCAATACTGCGAGTTGGCCAACAGATGGCGCGCAATACCCTCGTAAAAATGTTCTCAGTTCAGATATCTTTGGTTTTTCCAGTGAATCCACAATTCAAGGTATTTTCTACAAGCAGCAGTATATAAATTAGGTTTTGCCATCCTACTGAACATCTCCCAGGGTACTTTCACTCTACACACCTTTGTTATTGTATAAAACAGTAATAAGTAAATAAGCCTTAACTGGTTATCTGTCCCAGAATCAACACTCGGAATGCTGCATTGCATGATTTGGGTATTGGACACAAAACGCTTTGCACAAATATCATATATAACAAATCATCTAAGAATAAAAGCATTCTGAGCAATGCAAACATTAACATTGGGGGCTTTTTTTTACCGTTATGAGCACGGCAAAGTGGTAGATTGACCACATGGGGGAGCCAGACACCGTTGTGTTCAGAGCATCAATAATACGTAACATGCAGTCACATGCCACAGTGACTTATAATAGCTCCATGTTTTTCCTCCCATTATCAGAGAAGGAAGACGCCTTTTTTGGGGCTATCTTTTGCAAGCAGGTTCCTGCCAGTTATTCAAGAATACACCAACTATGCTTCTGACGGTTGCTATACAGGTTGTGCTGAGGAGGAAAACAACAGATTGAAAGGCACAGATGACGTTTACATGTTTAAGACATGAGCCCCCTTGTGACTGACGGTAGACATGTTTTTTTAAGAGATGTGTCTGCCTTGGAACGTTTGGTATTCATTAGGGAGGTTTTTTTAGATGTCAAGGAGATGAGGGGGGAAATGAGGAGGGCAAGAGAGAAAAACACACACACATATGACACAGGGCAGTAAAGCTATAGCTGACTACTAGCTGTAATTATATGATTCTGCCCCACTGGGCACCAGATGCCAGCGTGTGTGCTAATGTTGACAAAATAACAAGTATGCTGGACAGGGGACGAACCTCCCCACCAATAGATTATTTGGTTTGGGAGAGAAAATCAGGAGAAATTTCAATAACTGAAAGGCCTTTGTCAAAGACACGTGTCAGATTTAATCCTGATCGTGTGTAATCCACCGTTCTATATGTCATACCAAATCCTTTATATGTAATTCGTCATTTAATACGCTAACCTATTGGTAAAGAAGCGCCCTGAAAGGTGTCCATAATAGGCTTAGTTGAAAACAGCAGTGACCACGAGGCGCTTCCAACGCTGCACGCGGATCAAGCCGTCGCTTTCCTGTGGTGCTGGTGAGATTTTCCCAGAGAGAGAGAGAGAAAGAGGCAGAACCAGGAAGCACGTTCACGGCCACATGCCGCACTGTGCTTTAAGGGAGTGTGAGAGAAAGGTGCGTTTTTCACCTGTGTTCTGTGCCAGATGACAGACGCCCTGGAGTGGCCCAGTTTGTTCCGACAGGGCCCTTTGTCATAGTGGATCAGGAGGAAGTCGTCCTGTCACACGAACACACAGTTAAAGAACGACGATTAACAGGCAGCGGTAGAGAAAATCGTTTCTGAGTAATCAGTTTTCGGGCCAGTTGTCGGTGCTCACTCGCATTGCATAACACAACACGGCGCATAAGTCACACGTGTCCAAGTTCCGTTTTTAGGGAAAAAACAAAAAAGATCTCATCACGTTCTCTACGGTTTCCTGATAACGAAAGCAATTGCAGGCGCTGGGAGACCGATGATGAATATCTGCCATTATCACATTGTGCACACTCAAGCATTGCAACATTCAAACATTGCAATTTGTAGTGTTAAAGAAGAAATGATTAAAACCAACTCACATCCAGAGACTCCAGACAGTACCAGCAGAAGGCGTGTTTGCAGTTCTTGCACATCATCTGTGCACAGCCCTCGTCCCTCTCGATGTAGACTTTACATTTAGGACAGCGCTTGATTGGTGCTTCATCCTCTTCATTCTTATAGAAAGAGCTACAAAGAAAAGAGGCACCAGTGATTTTCTAACATCAAACCCCAAATGGTTCAAAATTCACTCCACGAAAAACACTGCAGATAGGATCCGTTTGATGCAGCAATTCATATTTTGTGTAACATGATTCTGTGAAACCACGAGTATCTTTTGTAACTCTTCTAAAATCCGCCACAGCATTGAATGGCCTCCGAACACTCGTATCGTTCCCTCCGATCGGTGACAGCTTGGCTCTATTCCTCTTGGGTCGGTGCCAGACTCCAGAAGTCCGGAGGCGAGCAGGTGCAGCCAGCATTCTGCCGGCTATTCTAGGGCCACTAACAAGGCTATTTAGTTACTAGTTGAAAAGGCAAAAAAAGAATCAGAATACAGATTTTAAAAACAGCCTTTGAACAGGTGTAGTTGAAACGCAGAGGCTCTTTAAAGCTAAGAGTAGACCTGTTAATCCTCCTCCCCTCCACTGTGGCCTCTGAGCTCGGCCCTGAACCCTCGCAGATCGAGGAAAGCTGCGAGGAGCTAATGACATTTCCAGAGTAAGAGGATATGACAAAGAAAAGGGTTAGCCGCAAATGTCTCCAGGCAGCCCTCTCCTAAGCCTACAGGTAGGTCCTGTATCCTTTAAAAAAGGAGCAATAAGCTCACCCCAGAACTGCATCACAGCAGTTTAGTTTCAGCCGATTGTTTAATATCTGCCTGTTCGTTCGTGCTAGAGCTCTGGCCGAGGCTCAATGGAGCAGTAGCTGCCAAACAGCCAGCCAGGAAAGCCGTCAGTCTACATTTAGGAATAAAGTGAGGGGATTGTGCAGTATATTAAGAGCAGTGGTTCAGCACTGCAGTCAGGGGAGCCAAACATCATTTTGAGGGATCTGCAGAGACTTTATAGCCATGTCACAACACGGCAAAACGAGATGATGTAGTATTTACTCAGGTTAAAAGACAGTTAAAACATTAGAACTGGAATGGATATTGTCGGTGTTTGACACTTTTAAACAATGCTGTAATAAAACAAAATAACTCAATGACAATGAAGTTAATTCATATCAGCATTGCATTCTTTACCAATTTTATATATATATTACATTAAGTATCTATTAGCTGACTGCAACTAACATTCATTTACTTTAGTGTTTAAATGTCAAGCAGCAAACGTCTAAAACTAGAAATTAAAACAAATGTCCTTAACAATTTGTCAATTTTTTAAAATAGTTGCAGATACATTTTGACTGACGATTCAATAAATGCTCAACACCTTCATACGTCACCCGAAGAACGGCTTGTATGAATATGTCAATCAGAATTTAAAAGGTATGTGGAGGTCAGAATACAGAAGTAAGACCCATCCGTCCAGAGAAATTGAGAAAAGGTAACAGTAACTTGATAAAAACGGCAGTACCTGTTTTCTCCCGGCAGGAAGGAGGCGATGGGCAGGTTGTTCTCCTGGCAGGCCTGTCCGGGGTGCCAGTTGGATTTGCAGGCCGAGCAGAACTCGAGGGCACATACGGCGCACTGGACCAGCTGGGGCAGCGCGGGAGGATCCACTTCCTTTAGTTGGCACACGGCCTGGCAGGTCGAGGAAGGGCACCACGTCCGGCACGGGTCCAGCAGCACCTCTAGTGGAACAGAACAAAGTACCGGTGTCACGGACAGAAGCCGCCCCTAAAAAGGATTAAAATCACTAAGAAAGGTTTTTATCGAGACGCCTTTTCTGCTTCTTCTTCCACGCTGAATCCTGGTACCTGCTTATGTTAGAAATTTGCTTCTTTACTTTTTGGCCGGCTGCATCTATGACGGACTTTTACAAACTCTTTTGAATACGCGTGAACGAGACCTGCGTTATGTGTTTCGCCCGTTTTAATTTCGTGGTGCGATGCTCTCGTATCCTCTGCTTCCTTCCCCTATGCTTCTCTGCCAAGGTCTCCCGAGCACAAATTCCACATGCACTCTTGGCCCAGTCTGTGAAAAATGGAACGGTTTCAGCAACTGTTCTGCCTGGCTGGACTGGGACATTGATGAGACGGCTGACTGCCCTTATCCAGGCAGGCAGCATCACCAACCGTTTCTGCGGTTTGTATTCAATTACAGGACCCCTGCTCTGTGTTCATGCAACTATTTTGTTTTTCAGGGGAGATCTGCTAGTGCACGTGTGTAGGTGGGAGAACCTGCAGAGCGACCATCATCAAATAGCGATAGCGCGGCTTGGTTGCGGCTTTCTCCGGTAGAGCGGATGCTCTAATATTACTGATTAGCGTGTCTTCGTTGACGGCATGGAGCAACGCGGACAGGGTGTCTTTCCAGCAATGACATTGAAGCCTTTTACCATTCGGGTTTAACATTTATTCTACAAACGATGTTAACGGGAGACATTGCATACATAGCTGCACACTCAAGCGGAGGTAAAAAGGATACCTTGCTATGCAAAGACACCTGCCCGCATCAGAGAGTGTAGAGCCGAACCAATCCAATTAGAATTTCTTCAAACAAAGTCTGGCAGTCTTTTCCTTTTATGCATTTTAGAGGGAAGCAAAAGTTACCCTTTAATAAGAATGACAGGGTTGAGTCAGAAAACTACAGTACAAATGAGACAAAAGGCCCGAGTATCACAACATGCCTGTATGAGCATTTGTGGTTAATGAATGGTTCCATCATTTTTTGCTGTCAGATGGGAAAAATTGAGACTTTATTCTAAAGCTGCGGCCTGCTGATCGGTGCTAAAATTGGCAAGATTGAAGTCTACTGCAAAAACAAGCGTCGCTAGACCTTTTCTTCCGAGTTTCCCCACAGAACCCCGATCTCACAATTCCAGAGCAAAAATGTTCACGGGGAGAGAACGATGGATTCAGGAGAGAGTGAGCAGCGGTTCGGCTACATGACGGGATTGTCGTCAGCCCTTTTATGTGTCACAATAAAAACTCCCCGGAGAACCGGAGAGTCCACGTGAGTGTGCATTTGAAAGTCATTGCCTACGCACCACCCGCTGAGACACGCTGGACGCGACACCGACGGGCTGCTCTCCCATTGACTCACCCCTTTCAAACTGAAGCTTCTTGTATTTCTGCATGATCTCCGTGGCCACCATGGACTCAATCTACAGGGAGGGAGGAGGCGAGAAGCGGGGAAGGAAATCAGCAAGTCATCGTGCATGTTTACACGACGAAGCAATCATGCATTCAGTATGCAAATGTTATCTCCAGAACGGTGTAATAATCACATTTCTACAAAATCAGAACTTACTACTTGCTTACAAATAAACCAATAAGAAAAAAAAGGCTAATAATAAAGTTGCCAGAAGGTGTTGAAGGGGCACATGCCGGCCCACTCAAGGTCAACGAAATGATCATTCACGCTTTGTCAAGGAGTCGTCAATTCTAGGCGAAGGCACGGCTGTCACAGCGGGCAGGGATACGGCATTCTTTGCAGGTTAAACTTAAACGGCAATCCAAAGTTAAAAAACTGACTTTTCGTCGTTATCAATACCTCGTTCTCCTGCAAGTGTCCTCTTTTGGGACAGGCAGAGTCAGGACAGCTGATTGCGGTTTCAAGGCCTTCTTTAATCAGGAGTTCCACATACTGCTTCAAGCACTGAAGAAAAAAAAAACAGACTAAATAAGCACTGGACATGTTTAATGTTCAGTCTGATTGACTGAGAAAAACAAAAAAAAAAACACACTTACCAAAAAATTGGGAAAGACTGACCTAAAAAAAAAACAAAGACTGACCTCTCTTGATTGTGATCGCTCTCTGAAATTTAATTTCAGTATTTTCATATCAAGGTCTTTTGTTTGCTATTATTTTAATCACTTTAGGAATGTCAGTATCAAATATACTGCTTTTGATGAAAAAAGCAGCTCATGCGAGATGAAGGCAGTCTTTGTAGTTATATTGTTGCTGACGTCGGTGGAACAAACTGTACTAACTAAACTCTGTTCTGGGAAGTGGCTCCTATTTGTAGTGGTGATTTTCAGACAATATTTCCTCATTTATGGCGTGGATTGGTTAATATCCGACAGGCGATGGGTGTTACTATTGCTCTGCAGCAGCCTTTTCAAACAGCGTTTCTCTCTATAGATTGTAACGTTTACTTATGAAAATACATTTCATAAGTACATACAAGTACATAAGTACAATACAGTTCAAAATAAAAGTCAGATCTTTGACATTGTACAACCCACTTACGTCCGCATTCTGCTGAAACATGTGTTGCTGTAAAGTGAACGGCTCACCAGTGTGCAGAAGACACATTGGCACTGTGTGATTGTGGTCATCTGCTCCAATGGGAACTCTCCAAGGCACAGCTTACATGAGACCAGGGGGTCCACGGCCAGCTCCCAGGTGGGACGGTACCGCGCCGTGGTCATCTTCGCCGCCACAGAGCTGAAAAAAATGGGGGAGGGAGGAGACCGAGCGCCACGGTTAATGAAGCCGAATGCATCTCCTGGGATTTAGTGAACAAAGTGGTCGGTTGGTTCATTCTCGTAATCCTGCCGATGGACAAAGAAAATCTTTAAAGTGCAAATACATGCGGCTCAGTTTTGTCTGCGTCGGTCCAGATAATAAATCTAGATAATAATAACTATCATCTAGAGGATAATAGTCCGAGCTGTGCTTTATTTCTTGTGACACAATGAGCAGGAGCAGGAGCTTTCCACCAGGCCGGGGAATATGCAGAGTGCCACCAGCTCTGCATCGTTCATCGCTCTGCAAAGAAACTTGTGGAGCTAATCAACCATCTCAGCTACTTGTGAAATTTCCACTTGGATGAAATAACACCTTTTTTTTTTTTCCTTCCTTCCCCGTGCGTCATCCCGTCTCTTTTATGATAGTCAGAGGGGGTTATTTTAGGACGTCTCGTCTCCCTCTGCAGCTGAGAGCGAAGAGCACCGACTCGGCTGTTTACAGGAAGTGGTACCGAGCACACAACGTCAACACAGTCGAGCCCCCCCCCCCCCCACACACACCTCCCCCTCACGCTGCTTAGCAACCCGGGCCGAGGGAGGATTTTCGGGAGACGGAAAGGGGGCAACAGACCGGAGGGAGAGGAGCATGGCATTGGAGCGGTGACAGGGAGGGATCGGTTTACTTTCACAGGCCACGGCGCGCTCGACTGTTCACGGGCAAGATAGGGAGAGGGAGGCGAGGAGAGGGAAGGGTTGAAGAGTTCACTCCGCCGCCGTGTTCAGCCCGAGACGGGAAAACAAACCAAAAAGAGACAGTGTGTTCTGGTGTGGCAGATCCATGATACATGCTTCATACTGCCCCGAACAACACATTTAGTCCTTCAAAAGAGGCATAAATAGCTCCCCCGCTTATCACTTTCTCTAGGTGTGGGCATTCCACACACACACACACACACACACACACACACACACACACATGACTCAGTCGCAGCCTTTGGTGCGAGGTGGTGTTACGACAACACATGTCCCCCATCTCATTTCTCTGAGGATTCATATCAATACCAGTAACGAGAGAGAAATGTCGAGCAGAACATTACGGACGAATGTTACGGACGAATGTTACGGGCCGATGGACGGAGGCCGGGACAGGTAACGCCTCCCGCCCACAGGTAAACCATGGCGCCGCCGGGGGTGAAAAGAACTTCGGAGCCAAGGCAGCAAGTCAATTTCTTAGCGGATCCAACCGTGCACCCCTCCTCTCAGCAGCTGATTCATTCACGTGATGCTTCACAAGGAAAACGTGTCCCGTTGGATTCGAAGTATCGCTCCCTCGATTCCTCCTCCTTCGCATCCTTTCACAGCGTCGAGCAGGTGGACGGAGGAGGAAATACAAAGTGAGAAAGAAATTCAATGCGGCTCGTGTCTGAATCATTTTTAAATCGACTGGGCGTTCTTCCATCTATTCAGCATCCGTTATGTTGGACACAAAGCACTGAGCGGTGAGGAAGCGTTATTATGAAAAGGTGCTGGTCTCGTGTACAAAAAGCAGAAATGGCAATTTATGGCCAGACATTATCCTCTGGGGAGTGTGGGCCACTATATCATGTTGACGGAGGAGGTAACTCAAGCAATGAAGTAGTGACACGAAGCCCGAGTGAAGAGATACAAGTAAAAGGTCACAGACGCAACAGCCAATCGAATGTCAACATGGCATCATGAGTCAAAGCGGTTTACCAACAAGAGAGAGAGAGAGAGAGAGACAGACACACAGGGGCCGAATACCAAAAAGAAAAGCATAGGAACCTCATCAACACCTCAAACATACAGCTGGTGCCCACAACAGCTGTCCCCATGACGACTGACATGATTGTTTCTTTATCCGTCTCCATGTGGAAGTTGCTGGCCTCCATCCCGACGGTTAAAAGTTGAAAGTGCGTTTGCATTCAAATCTGTATTTCAAACTTTATCTATCGGTCGTGCCAATGCTGACAGACTGGGCGGGTGGTAACAATGAAGTGAGTTTTGTAAAGATGGCCTGCGGAGAGACGCGAGGAAAGCGAGGGGGAGGGAGGGAGAGAGAGAGAAACTACAGGGAAAATGCGTTTTCACGAGGAAAGGTGGTGCAGTGCCATTCCTCTGCTGCATTATTAACCAGTCGGTCCATTCTCACTCAGAAACACACACACACACACAATGAACACATTATATCCCAAAGCAATGGCGCGACAAATGCAGGCCTCCCTCGTTTTTGAAAGGTAGCCCCTCCAGAATACTATGCAAGGTGAGGTCAGAGAGCTGAACATCGATAAAGGACGGGGGTCAGGAGTCAAACATCCACTCTGGGCCCGCGGTCACCACGCGGCAGTCATCCGTCTGAAGGGGCTCCACTCACTGCTGCTGCAGCAGCACTTATGCGGTAATGACTCCATCACCAAGAGACAAAGGCGTGCGCGCACACACCAACTCACTTGCATAACCGGGCATAAATGGTGATGAAGGAGAACTTCTCTGGAGAGGCAAAAAGAGAAAAGGTTTGCTATCCATCTACATCATGTGCACTGTGCAAAATGAAGGAAATCTATAGAGGAAGATTTAGAGATTTCCGCAATGCTTCATTGCATTGGGGAAAGGACGGACTCGCACAAATCCACATTTTCATGGAAACTCTGACTGAATTTGTGGATAACATGCGGCTTCCATGAGAGAGGTCAAATTGCCACCAGCCGGTCTAAAAGTGTTCAAACACTACTTGTCAACACCTGGTTTGTGGGTAGAGCGCAGATAACGCATTTATTATCTATTAAAACGGCAGACTTTTGAAGCACACATTTCTAAATCAAAGGCTACAACTTGAATACGTTTGACTGTTGGTGCTCAAAACAAGCAAAATGTTGGAAATGCCCATTTCAGACTTTCAACAGATAGATCTTCATTTCTACTTCTCTACTTCCTTTCCAACTAGGGATCGGGTTTAACGTCTTAACCAGTAGTTGCCTCGGCAAATTCTGAGCGTGAATAGACAGAGATGAAGCCTCAGGCTGCGGAGCCACGCGGGCTTCATTCAAGAGGAACTAAACTCAACCAAGTGCTCTCAACGCGCCGGTGTGTTCGCTCTACATTGCAATGCTCCCGCAGAGCAGGGAGATCAGTGAGGGAAAAAATAAAGAAAAAATGGGAGAAAGAGAAAAAAAAAAGGGGTCTAACAATATTTCAGCACTCCATTTTCGCCTGGTCTGTAATTATATAATGTCACAATGCATTGCGTAAGCCTCTATTTATATACCTCACCTATGGCTGGTGTGGAATAAAAGCTGCTAACAACTGTCTGCAGATCTGGGAGCAGCAGATGATCGGCCCATCGGCCCATATCTGTCCGTATGGCTAACGGCGTGCCGTTGACCAATCAGACGCGTCAAAGAGGAAACCGAAGGAAAGAGGCCTGAGATTATGCGGATGATCTTAAATCTGGTGACTGGCCAAAAACGCTACACGTTCGATCGTGTCTGCGGCGGAATAATTGTAGTGAAAAGACGGCATAAGAAAACCTGCTGATTCAAACAATCCTCTTTTTCCGACTGGCTTTATAAATCACACTACTCTAACCTCAAATTTACTCCTGCCAACGTGTCTGTCGGGCCCACAGCCGCAATCCTGCTCCCTGGATGTGCAGCTGTGACGTCATTCAGCACATATATATATATATATATATATATATATTGTATGTGTATGTATAGATAGTGAGCTTAGAATCTGGAACAGGCACTCAGGGATCCTGCCGTCTGCTTCCTCCCCTCCCTGCTGCTTCCTGCCACCACTCCCTGCTCTCCACGACCAAGTAGAAGGTCCTTTACGTTTCACCTACGTGATATGTGTCCATGCTGCAGAGAAAGGGAGGAACACCAAGCGAAGAGAAAGGAAAAAGACAGAGAGAGAGACAGAAAGGACGGCAGCAATGTGTCACCTTCGTCCATTTTCCAGACTCCCTGGTCTCGCCTTTACTGGCTGCGGTTACTTCTCATCACCTGGTAGTGAAAGCTCTTCCTCGGCAATAGAACAAACCAAAGAGACCAGATGGACAGAAGCGTACTGCAGACCGACGCAAATGATCCCGTTCCCCGTGGGGGGAATAAGAAATCAATCGCCTGCCATGCGATGAAGAAAAGGAAATGACGGATTTTCTCTGTGAAAATGACACTATATTTTCAGCTGCCACCAAATATTCATTCCTTCAAAAAATGCCTAAACAAACTTCAAGAGATTAAACTATTTGCTTTCTGGATGATATTAATTAGTTGAAATATTAAAGCTTGGTGTGTTTGAGTCAAATTTGAAGCAATACATTGCAGTGCTACACTGGGTCGTCCGTGTGATCCTTTTATTCTTTTCATTCTGTCAGCTGGTATTATTTTGTTCATCCAGTATTAACGTGATCGCATTGCGTCTCCGTTGCGTCTCCCGGCGACAACACGAAAGCACGTTTGGTAAATACACAATAGGATCGACGTAGAGTACAAATTACACCCTCGTTAGCAACTTAATCGCAGCACGGTGATCCTTAAATCCTCTGCATCTTGCAGGGAGCACTGCAGTACAACCTAGAGGAAGGCCCGATGCGCCGTCCTTTTGTGGATAGTAGTCAACAACTTGTGTATCATTCATACAGTAACAACTGGCAACAAAGAAGTTTATTGAAGGAGTCGAGCACCGTCATAGTAATTCATAAAATCAATTACCTGCCAATAGATATACAAACACAAAACATGTCCTTTGGAATCAGGAATCAGGAAACATTTATTGCCAAAATACGTCAAACAGACAAGGAATTTGTCTTGGCGGTTTGTGCGTGACAGTAGACAGTGTAACAATAGACAGCAGTGCACAAGTAATAAAATAAAGTAAAATGAAATGCTAATGCAATGGGTTAGTAGAATAAGGCTATGGGTTAGTATAAATAAATGTAAGATTGCTGCAGCATCA